TTACCCCAGATAACTCGGGCGTCCAGAGCCCCGAATCATCAGGGGTAACTCGGGTCAGGGCTAACTCGGGTTCCTCTTTCGGGATTCCAAACCCGAGTTGCCGCGGGCCCGACTTACCCCAGATGACTCGGGCGTCCAGAGCCCCGAATCATCAGGGGTAACTCGGGTCAGGGCTAACTCGGGTTCCTCTTTCGGGATTCCAAACCCGAGTTGCCCCGGGCCCGAGTTACCCCGGATGACTCGGGCGCCCAACTCCTACTGGGCCGGCAGGGCAGAGGCCCTGCAATATCGCGCGTGCCGTGCGGCGTCCTGGCGGCTTTCTGGCCTCTGGGTCAGGCCAGCCACAACTGGGGGAGCTGTGGTCCTTACCCCCCTGGGGGGCCCATCGATTTTGACACCCCTCTCGAGAGATCGTCGATGCGATGGGTTCCCCCAGGGGGGCAAGGACCTCAGCTCCCCCAGGTATGGCTGGTCGGTGGGAGCTCCCAGGAGGTTCACGGACCGCGCACTTGTTACCCAGGGTAGGGGCGCTTCTGCATCCCTCCATTACGCTGTCAGGCGATCGCGAACATGGACTAAGGGGGCGTGGATTAGCGACGGGTCCCGTTTCCATGGGGCATCGCGGATTTCCGCCGCCGAGCGAGGCCGCATTGGCCGCATTTTGGGGAGGGCACCTCCCCCGATCCATGCTTGCGTGCCCCCGACAGTGGAAGCCCACGCCAAGGAGCAGCCTGCTTGTGCCTCCAGGGTGTCCTGGGTCTCTTGGGTTCCGACGGTTTTGCTGTGGAAAGCGTGGCGCTCCCACACCAGAAATCGGTGGACGTCCTGGGGTCTCAGGGTTGGGCTTCTTGTGGAAGATTTCTCGTGGTCGAGCTCCCACCGCACGGGCCTCGGGACGGTCAACAAAAACGACTCCGGATGAAGGACGGGTCCAGGGGAAAGGTCAGGACTTCCGGGGACCGCGTACACGCCGGTCGTTGAAAGTAGGTTTTTCTGGACTCCCAGATCCCAACCTACTTCAGGCGCCTTCCCACTTCAGTCGACAAGCGCTTCTTCCCTTTTCCGTCATCTTTGGGGGGCGGGCTGAAACCCGATCTAGTTCCAACGCTTTCCTACGTCCTGTTTCCACCCATTCATTCCGACCGACGTGTACGCAGAAAAACAGTGACGAACCAACAACTCACACCCATACTCATAGGGGATCGGAGAGGGCTATGGGTGCGTGTTGTCGGATAGGGGGTCCCCGCTCGAACGGGAGCGTTCCCCAGGGTCCGACAACCCGCACCCATACCCACAGCCAGTCCTCCTCCCAACGACCTCCCTATGGGCATGGGTGTGTGTGCTGTTCGTTCGTCAAACAGAGCGTCGAATATCTGGAGGCAGACTTCCAGTTTGAAACAGATCCCTATCCCTATGGTTGACATCACCTCGCCTCGATGCCGATCTTAAGGATTCCCTCAGTTTCTGAGGGCCTATCCCTAAGATTGTCCTCGCTTTTTGCTCGCCCGTCGTAGGGATGGGGATACGTTCGAGGCTGGTTAGCAGAGGCCCCTCCGCCAACCTGTCGAGGAGGCGCAGACAGGGATGTTCGGACGGACGCGTGGGTCAGCGGGGGGGCCGCGCTCTCGTGCAGCACCGGCGCGCTCCGTCGCCAGATCAGGCGGCACCGGCCTCAAATGTTGGGAGTACCTTCTCCTCCCCCTCCTCGTCCTCCTCTCTCCTTCTCCTCCTCCTCCTCCTCCTCCTCCTCCTCCTCCTCCTCCTCCTCCTCCTCCTCCTCCTCCTCCCCTCCTTTCTCCTCCTCCTCCTCCTCCCCCTCCTCCTCCTCCTAATCCGCTTCCTCCTCCTCCGAATCCGCTTCCTCCTCCTCCTCCGCCTCCTCCTTTCCCTCCTCTCCTCGCTCCTCCTCCTCTGCGGGGGTCCTCCTCCTCCCCCCCTCCTCCTCCTCCTCCCCCTTCCTACACTAATCCTCCTCCTCCTCCTCCTCCTCCGCCTCCTCGCCCTCCCCTCCTCCTCATCCTCCTCCCTCCTTCCTCTCTCCCTCCTCATCCTGCCTCCTCCTCCCCATACCTCCTTCCTGCTCATCCGATAACCTCCTACCTCCTCACGCGCCCCTGTGGTCACTCCGTCCTCGCCTCCCTCCCTTCTCCCCTCCTCCTCCCCATCCTCCCACTCCGCGACTCCTCCCTCATCATCCGTCTGCCTCCTCCTCCTCCCTTGCTCTCCTTCCTCCACCGGCTTTCCTCGATCCCTAGGCCCCCTGCTTGCCTGCTATACTCCCCACTGGGCCCTCCTACCTCCTGCTCCTCCTCCTCCTCCCTCACTCCTCCGCCTCCCCTCCTCCTCCGCCTCCTCCTCCTCCTCCTCCTCCTCCTCATCCTCCTCCTCCTCATCATCATCATCCTCATCATCCTCGTTATCCTCCTCCTGCCCCTTCTCCTCTTCCTCCTCCTCTTCCTCCTCTTCTCCTTCTCTGTATAATTAACTTATTCCTGTCGCAACCCGAGGCCAGTTTTCAGGGCGGGGCGGGCGTTCCGCCTGAGAGTTCTTCACCATTTATGACCCTGAAGCTCAAACATTGGCAACCATTTCACAGATGGAGGGCGGGCCGTTTTCAAAATTTGGCTCTCGCCTTAGCGCCGCGCACATTCGTTTTCAAACTTTGCGAGAGTTTCACGGATCGAGTGCGGGTCGTTTTCAAAATGTGTTTCTCGCTTTAGCGCCGAATACATGTGTTTTCAACACGTGCAGTAGTTTCACATATTGAGGGCGGTTCCTTTTCAAGATGTGGTTCTCGCCTCAGCGCCGCGCACATTCATTTAAACAAATTACAAGATTTCCACGGATTCCCATGTTCGACGTACTCGAAATCGTTTTTTGGACGGATTCACGATGTTGAAGGCGAACCAGTTACGATGATTCGTGGAGTTGAGGTCCCAGGAATGGCGTTCTGGCACGAGTTAGGATCGTCAAGACGCAACAGTCAGGTTCATCCGTGGCGTTAGGATGCCGAGAATAATGTTTTGGCATGCTCCACGGTCTTCAAACGGTTGTCTTCCAATGAGGCAGGTCTCTCTGTGGAAATGAGCCGTTGTAGGGGCCTATGAAGAGGGAGCTTGGGGGGAGGGTTTATTCCAACATCGTTGGTGACCCTTGGGTTTACACTGGTCCTCCTCCTCCTCCTCATCGCCCTCCTCGTCCTCCTCCTCCTCCTCCTCCTCCTCCTCCTGCCCCTCCTCCTCCTCCTGCCCCTCCTCTTCCTCCTCCTCCTCCTCCGATCCGTAATCCATGTTGCGCACGAAGCTGGCCACACGCTGGCGATCTCCGCGGGCTCGGGCAGGGCCAGGACCTGGATGAATCCTGCCGCAGCGTGCGCGGCCGCGCCGCCGGACACCTCCCGAACCGCCGGGCCCCAGAGCTGCCCGGCGCGTCCCGGTCCGATGCAGTCCGCAGTGTTGGCCGTGTCTTGCAGGCAGCCCGCATAGTACAGTGCCGTTTTTAATGCATGCTCCGCGTGCGGATCATGTATTAAACATGCAGGGTTTAGTAGTAAAAACAACGATGAGTTCATGCATCAATTTGTCCATAAAAATTAATCATGTATTAAAAAGCCTATTTATGTGTTAAAATCCTATGTATTAAAAACTGCCCTGTAAGGATGGGAAGCTTTTCCAAGGCTGCCCTTTGCGCCCTGGTCCCCTGGGCCCCTCCTCGGCCGCTTTCCCCGACCAGCCTCGTCTGAAGAATATGAGCATGGCATCCGTACCGCACGCCCTTCTTGTACGGGTTGGCTGCGCCCTGGCGCCCACAGCGCAAGAAGCGGGGTCGGCCGCGGTGGCATTGGCGCGTGGGCTCCCCGCGTGAGGTCGCGCGTCAGCGCCTGCTTCTCCACGCGGCGTGCCACGCTGGCGGCCCCTGGGGTGAGCCGCGGCGTGAGGTCGCTACGTCCCCCTGCGAAGGGCACGTTTCTGTTCGTTGCTCACCTGGCCACAAGCCGACGGTCTTCGGGGGTGGAGCGGCGGCGGTGGCAGCGGTGGGAGGGGCCCTCGGCGGCGTCGCCGCCGAGGTGCTCGACTGCCCGGAGTTGCTGCGCTCCGATCTGCTTCAGGCCGCGCGGCGGGGATGCCTTCCTCCCATCCCGCTCGGCTCCTCCTGAGCCTCAGCTCCTTCCTCCTCGAAACCCCTCATACAGTGAGCGGCTTAAGTAAGGAACGCTTACTTTTCAAAAGGGGCTCGGTCGTTCCTGAAGGCTTGCATGCGTTACGTATCCTTCCTTCTGCGTTTTTTTATTATGTAGCGTTCCTTATGCTTTTTTCCTTGGAAAACAGGGACTCCGTTCCTTATGTATCGTTCCTTAGGTCAGGCCGATGACTGTAGGTCGACGAAAGAGAACGTCACATCCATGACCTTTCGAAGGTCCGCGCTGTTTTCTTTGTAATCGATTCTGGGACCCGCCTGGCGGCGCTTCTGGCGCCGCCTCTGGCGCCTTCCACGCGCCAGGGAGAAGAACCAGTGCCGATCCAAGAAATCTGCGCGGACCTCCGAAAGTTTGTGTCTACGCAGTTCTCCGCTTCTCTACTATAACCAACTACCGTCGTGAGTTGTTTGCCCGAGGCCGTTGTGCAGGTAAGGATCCAGTAGTGGCCAGGCGTCCTGGCGTGCCTGCCGGCCCACCAGAGAGTGCTCGAAGAACCCTTGGAGGGTTTGCACGAGACGTTCTCAGAGCAGTTCTGGCGGGGACCGTCTTGTTTCAACACGTCGGCTTCACGTTCTGAGAACATCGCTTTCTTCTTTGAGCATTCTCGGGTTCGAAGAAAATTCCGTGGTAGGCCTACAGGAATGCCTTGGCATCGCTCGGACGTGTGCATTTTTCCTTCGGCGAGGACCATCGAGGAGCATCCTTGATCATTTCGCGAAAAAACACGCACGAAACCGAAAAAAGCACAGGAAATGGACGTCCGAGCGATGGCGAGGGGATGCCGGGACGGTCGGCCCCTGCTCACAAGGCGAGGCAGTGGCGGGGCACGGGGGCGCGGTGCCCACGCGTTTGTCCTGGGCGTGTGCCGGATCGTGTCGCCGACAGGTCTGCCCCGGGCGCCCTGCGGGGCCCGCTCAGCATGGGGGCTTCGAGCTGCAGGTCCTCTAACATCTCGGGGGTGGACAGACCTCCTATCCTGACACGTCGATTAGCGAATTGGCCGTTTTCGGTTCGCGAGAGGGTGTCGCGGCCGTCAATGTTTGCGGGTCCAGGTCCGTCGGTTTCGGTCCCAGGCCGTTTTCACGAAGGGGAGGTTTACTAAAGGCAGGTTTGTCCACCGCCGAACATCGCAGGCCTCGAGATTGACACCAACACCAATATCGGCGGCGTGCCTCCACCGAGGGCCGAGGATTCCGGTCTCGGTGATGGTGGTCATATTTTGGCTCCCAAGGTGCCGAAATATTACCACCAACACCGAAATCTAGGATCAGCTTCCCCCTGTGGAGGCAACCCCCTGTGTTGGTGTTGGTGCCAATTTCCAGGCCTCCAATAACACGTGCGCGTCCGAGTGGCGGTGAAGCAGGGATCCGCCGCCTAATTACGCGCGGGCACCGGTCTTGGCCGCACGCCGCGCCCTACGCGCTCTCGCGGAGGGGCCGCAAGAAGCTGCTGATGTTGCTCTGGGCGTGTTTCCTGTCGCGCAGTTGCGGGCGGTGCAAGAAGATCCCGCGCCGAGTGACCCCGCCCCTGCACCTCATAGCCGGAGACCGGAACATCTACATTACCAGTGGCGGGCTGCTCTTCAATCCCAGGACCTCCTGAGGGTCGAGCACGACGCTGGGGTGGTGTGGTGTCTACTTTTTCCCCCGATGCCCCGGGGAAACAACGAAAAATGTATACACAAGGGTCCCGTATTCACCAGGATCCGCTCTCCAGGGCACATGCCAATGCAGGGCCGGAAGAAGGGTCGGTGTGTGGAGTTCGATCCCCTACATAGCGCCGGATGCGCCCGGGATTGTTCAGCCACGCGCAAAGGGGGGTGGGGTGACAGGGGGAGGGTCTCTTAGAAGCACCCCTGCTTCTTAGAAGGCGCGGGCCTTTTCTATAGACGCAAGGCCGGCGCCTTCTAAGAAGCAGCCTGCTTCTGAGAAGCCCTCCCCTTCCCCCCACCCCCTTGTGCCCTTGGCATCGCTCGGACGTGTGCATGTTTCCTTCGGCGAGGACCATCGAGGAGCATCCTTGATCATTTCGCGAAAAAACCACGCACGAAACCGAAAAAAGCACAGGAAATGGACGTCCGAGCGATGGCCAGTGTTAGTGGAGACCCTCCTGGGGACATCGGGAGGGAGACTTCTGGTCCGAGGTCAGAGATCATTACCGGACCTAAGACGATAGCAGATGGGGCGTTACAGTCGGGGCGTTCACCTAAGGAACCCCAAATAAGGAACGAGGCCCTCCTTTCCCATAAGTTAAACTTCGATTCCCCATCGAAAACCTTGGGAAAACCTGAGGCAAGCTGTGAAACTATCAAGGAACACGGAGCCCCTCCCCAACGAGCGATGGCCAGTGTGCGCGCCGCCAAATGGTGCTGCATGGGGGGCGTGGTTCGCTCTCTGTGTTGGTCGGCTGCGCCGGCGGTCGCAGGCGCTTGTGTGGAGCCGGCGGGCCGCGCCGGGCACGGACCACATCCGCAGGTTTTTCCCACGCGCACGCACACATACACAGTCACACACATAGGCACACACACACAGGCACACACAGGCACACACGCACACACACAGGCACACACACAGGCACACACACACACGCACACACACACACGCACACACGCACACACACAGGCACACACACAGACACACACACACACACACACGCACACACAGGCACACAGGCACACTCTCACACACGCACACGCAGAGGCACACACACACAGGCACACAGGCACACACACACGCACACACACAGGCACACAGGCACACACACACAGGCACACACCCACACACACAGGCACACACTCACTCACACACAGGCACATGCTCACACACACAGGCACACACACAGGCACACACGCGCGCAAACAAACGAGCACACAAACAACAAACCTGTTCTCAAAACTGCCAGAAGCTGGGCGCATCTGTTGCGATGGCAGCAGGGTCGGGCCGCATTGAGGGGGTTCTTGTCCCGCCAGTGGCACGGACCCATGTGTTCCAAAAACTGTGCGTGGGCATCATCGGCGAATTCTTATCCCATCTCTCCGCCACTAAAAAAATGCACGGACTCCCTCCAGTGCATTTCTCCTGGGCCTCAGGGGAGGATTGCGGTGTATAAATCACCACTGAGCGCCAGCGACTTATACACTGCCACCCTCCCTGGAGGTAGATGCAAAGTTCGTCGGCGGGCGTCTGTGTAAATATGTTCGTGGCGTAATCTCAGGGGCAACGATAGGAGGGGATAGGCATAGGGGGGGATGTATCTACCCCCAATCGCCCATTCATCGCCGAAAGGGGCCAGATAGCCCCAATCTGCCCAGGAAGGTGCGGATTCGCTAGCGGGGGCATATCGCCGATCCATCGGCGATGCATCGCCGACTCCAGGTCGAAGTTCCCCCCCCTTTGCTAGTCTTCCCCGATCGTTGCCACTCCTTTGAGCGGCCCGTGCAATGTTGAGAGGAACATGGTACTCCTAGCTAAGTGGCCCGTTCAAAATTGACAGACGCACTGCGTAGGCTCCTGACTGAACGGCCCCCTCCCGCGCGCCCCGATGTGTTGGCTTCAAGTTGGGAGGGCGGGGGCAAGCTCTCTGCTGCGCGATGTTACTCTTGCCCCCGTCAAGTATAACAAAATTCAGGGCGGAGCGTTGACGGCGACGTCGGTCGTAGTTGACAAAGTCGACGTTTGGGAGACTCTTGGGCGTTTCTGGAGGTGCTTGCCGTCTCAAGCGGACGCGGGTCGAAAACGTTGTCGAAAACCAGCCGCGATGGGCCCTAAGAGGGATCTAAGGGCCCCTTCTGAGCGGATGCCAGTCGTGGGCGTCGCACCCACATCTCTTGTCAATGTTTGTATATGCGGAGGCCGTTTCCAGTCGGCGGTTGTTGTTGCTCGTCCTTGGCGAGCGGGCGCCGCGGACGAACAAAACATGTAAAACGCTAGTATGTATGTATGTATGTATGCATGCATGTATGCATGTATGCATGCATGTCTGTCTGTCTGTCTGTCTGTCTGTCTGTCTGTCTGTCCGTATGTATGTATGTATGTATGAATGAAGGTATGAATGTATGAATGTATGAATGTATGTATGCATGCATGCATGCATGCATGCATGTATGCTTGTATGTATGTATGTATGTCTGTATGTATGTATGTATGTATGTATGTTTGTATGTATGTGTGTTGCGTCGGTGTGTTACAGGAGTTCCCCCCACACAAGTGGGAGTGGGATCCGAAGTTTTCATCGTGATTCGCAAGTCGCACTGTGACGTTGTTAGGATGAGGGGGAGGAGGAGGAGGAGGAGGAGGAGGAGGAGGAGGAGGAGGAGGAGGAGAGGAGAGGAGGAGGAGGAGGAGGAGGAGGAGGAGGAGGAGGAGGAGGAGGAGGAGGAGGAGGCGGAGGGGAGGAGGAGGAGGAGGGCGGAGGAGGAGGAGGAGGAGGAAGAGGAACGAAGGAGGATGAAAAGAGGAGGAGGCAAGGGGGCACGATGAAGAGAGTGGGTTTTCGAGGATTTGGGGGTTGTTCTGGGGGTCCTGGGCCGTTCCAGCTCGGGGGGTCCTCTTTTGCCCCTCTCCTGGCATCTCTCGGACGTGTGCATTTTTCCTTCGGCGAGGACCATCGAGGAGCATCCTTGATCATTGGGGAAAAAAGCCGCGCACGAAACCGAAACAAAAAGCAGGGAGTGGACGTCCGAGCGATGGCCAGTTCCTTCCTCCCCAAGGAGAAGCAGGAGAGGGGGGGAGGCAAAGGGAAAGGGAGCGGAGGGAGGAAAAGGGGGATGTAGGGGATCTGCCTTCCGTTGTCGCTGTCGCTGTATGCTCCTCCTGATCATCCTCCTTTGCCCGCAGTTCTCTCCCTCCCTCCTCCGCCGCTTCCCTCCCCACTGTCCCCCTTCTCCGCAAATGCTGCCTGATGCAATGTGCCGAGGCCGTTCTGTCCCACGCTTCCGAACCCTCGCCCTCAAGCCTCCCCCCTCGCCATCCATCACCGCCCACCAAACCACCCCAACCCAACCCGAAGGCCCCGATTTGCCCTCCATTTCCAGTGGGGGGGGGTCGGGGAACATCGAAAAAAACACACATGAAGCCCGTCCCCCCCCACCCCCACCCGAAATTCGGGTCTTCGGGTTGGGTTGGGGTGGTCTGGTAGGTAGTCACTCCAGCACACCTCCCTCCTCCGCTCCCTCGATCCTCGCCCCTCGACCTTAGGCCTCCTTGTCCTGCTCCCGGCGTGGGCCCCCGGGCACTCTCGACCGCTCCGCTCCCCGCGCGCCGGGTGTGCTCGGCAATGGGGGCGCGACGGCTCGAGGCGGGCCGAGGCCTTCGGGAAGGGAGGAGGAGGAGGAGGAGGAGGAGGAGGAGGAGGAGGAGGAGGAGGAGGAGGAGGAGGGGGAGGAGGGGGAGGAGGGGGAGGAGGGAGGAGGGGAGGAGGGGAGGAGGAGGAGGAGGAGGAGGAGGAGGAGGAGGAGGAGGAGGAGGAGGAGGAGGAGGAGGAGGAGGAGGAGGAGGACCCCCCATGGTGCTCCGGAGGTGCCCGAAGGGACGCCCACGGGGCCACCCGGGGCCCCGAAGGCGCTCCTCGGACGGCACCTGGGCGAGAGGATGCGGGCGTCCCGAAGCGCTCCTGAGGGGCCCGGCGCCGGATCTCGGAGCTTCTCGAGTCATCTCGGGCGGGTGGTAATTATTTGCGGGTGACCTGGAGGGGGGGTTAGGGGGCCACATGTGAACCCTACCCCTACCCCCCATGATTTCTGAGGGGGAGGGTGGGGTTCACTTCGTTCGGGAGCTCCCGAGCGAAGTGAGTGAGAAGGCCCTCCAGGGGCTCCTTGGGGCCCCTGTTGGAAGCCAGCAGGTGCCCAAGAGGAGCCCTAAAAAGGCCCCTGTGGGGCGCTGTTCTGCACCCCCCGTGTGGGCCCCCCCCCCCGAGACCACCCGCCCGAGGATCCTCGTCCGAAGGTGGGTCTCCTCGTCCTGGCTTCGTGTCTTAGCTCCCGTGGGGCACCTTTGTCTACACGGCCACGCGCAGAGGGGAGGGGGGGGAAGGCTTCTTAGAAGCCCCCCTGCTTCTTAGAAGGCGCGGGCACTGTCTGTAGATGTAAGCCCCGCGCCTTCTAAGAAGCAGCCTCATTCTAAGAAGCCTTCCCCCCTCCCCTTACCCCCTTGTGGGTGCCGCCAACGACTAACCTTGCCCGAGTGTGTCCTCGTCCTGGCTTCGTCTAAGCTCCCGTGGGGCACCTTTCTTTACGCCCGCACTCTGCCCCCCCCCCCCCCCCCCCTTGAGTCGGGGAAACGTAAGACTCGAGTACGCCGGGACTGGGGTTTGCCTACACTTTTTGACGAGCGCGTCCTGGAGTTTGACGGCCCAGCTGTCGTGGGATGCCAGCAGCTGGAGCTCGCGTCAGATGTCAGGCCGGGTCTCGTCATTTTCATTGATGGTCCCGTCGGGCCCACCCGAGTCTCAGGAGGGGAAAAAACACACAGACACAATTAATCGTCGATCCCCAGGAAAATATGCGAAAATATGGGAATTGGGGGGGAAGACAAAAACCCAGAAAATATGAGAAAATATCGGGAATATTTTTATTTGTGTGTACTTATTTGTGTGTTCTGGGGCCCCTTTAGAGTCCCCCGAACTCGAGTCTTACGCCTCCCCGATTGAGGCAGCGCCCGACCGCGGGCCCCTCCTCGGCGTCCCCGGGCCTGCCGTCGGACGGCGCGGGGCGCCCCCTGGGCGGCATCTGCCGGTTTCCGCGGGCCTCTCTTTGCAGCGTGGCGCCGGCAGAGTTGAGGGCAACGACGACGAGGGCAACGACGAGGGCGAGGAAGACGACGACGAAGAGGGCGACGACGAGGGCGAGGAAGACGACGACGAAGAGGGCGACGAGGACGACGACGACGACGACCACGAGGACGATGACGACGACGACGAGGACGAGGACGAGGACGACGACGACGACCACGAGGACGAGGAGGACGACGACGACGACGACGACGACGACGACGACGACGACGACCACGAGGACGAGGACGACGATGACGACGACGACGACGACGAGGTTGAGGACGAGGACGACGACGACGACGACGACGTCGACGAGGACGAGGACGAGGACGACGACGACGACGACGACGAGGACGAGGACGACGAGGACGAGGACGACGACGGCGAAGACGAGAACGAGGGCGAGGACAAGAACGGCAAGGACAACGACGACGAGGACGAGGACTACGAGGACGACGACGACGACGACGAGAACGACGACGACGACAGCGACGACGAGGACGACCACCGCGACAAGGACGCGGGCAAAAACGACGAGGAGGCCGAGGGCGGCGGCCGCGGCAGTGGCGGCGGCGTGCCCCAGGCAGCCGCCGGCGGCGGGGAGCTCCTGGGCGAGCAGCACGTGGCGTGGCTGGTCGCCGCCGTCGTCCTCGTCTGCCTCGTCGTCGGCGTCGTCGTCCTCGTCGTCGTTGCCGCCGTCGTCCTCGTGGTCGTCGTCGTCGTCGTCGTCGGCCTCGTCGTCGGCCTCGTCGTCGTCGTTGTCCTTGTCGTCGTCGTTGTCCTTGTCGTCGTCGTCGTCGTCGTCGTCATCGGCCTCGTCGTCGTCCTCGTCGTGGATGTCATGGAGCGGGGCTGCAGGGCCCCAAGGTTTGGTTGCCGCCTCTCTGGGCTTCGGGGGGGCGCCCTCGTGGCCACCTGCTGGCTCCGCCTCCGAGTTTTCGGGCCGCGCGGGCCCCAAGGCAGATGCGTGGGTCGTCGTCACCGTCGTCGTCGCCGCCGTCCTCGCTACTCGATTCCTACCCCCTCCTCTCCTCCTCCCTCGTCGTCTTCGTCCCATCTACCACTCCTTCTGCCCCTCCTCCCCTCCTCCCTTCCCGCCTACCACTCCTCCTACCACTCCCTCCTACCACCCCTCCGACCACTTTTCCTCACACCGCTCGTACCCCTTCTCCTCCCTCGTCGTCTTCGTCCTTCCCCTTCATATTATTGGGGCGACAGACCAGCCTCAGGGAAGGCGTCGAAAAAATCTGGGGACCTCGTATTGCAAGTGCACGACGTCGGATGTCCCGATCACCATTCTTTCGCAGGAACAGTAAGAGGAGTATGGGGAGGCGGCTCAGGAGCAAGAGGACCATTGGAAGAGTCTAGACGCACCTGGGCCCCTAGAGTCCCAGAATCGCAAAAGCCTCCAAACACTTCGCTCGGTTATTATTCTCCCCCTTCCTTCCTGTCCTCTCTCCCGGGGAGGCCGCGGAGAAGGAGGAGGAGGAGGAGGAGGGAGAGAGGACTTGAAGACGGCGGCCATTCTTGATGACGACGACGACGGCGACAGCGACGGCGACGACAAAGACTGCGGCGGCGACGACGGTCTCTGGAGGCCCGGACGGGCCTCAACCCTGCCTGCGTCGGCGCCGACACGGCGCCGCCTTCAGCAGTACCTCCCGCCGCGTTGGGAGGTGTTCAGGAGGGAAAAAACACACACAGACACAATGAATCGTCGGTTCCCAGGAAAATATGGGAAAATATGGGAATTGGGGGGGAAGACAAAAACTCAGAAAATATGATAAGATATGGGGAACCTTCTTATTTGTGTGCATTTATTCGTGTGTCCCAGGGCCCCTTCAGGTGTCCCCCCTCGTTCCCCGACCACCGACGTCGCCCTGTTGTTCCGGGCCGTCGGCTTGTGCTCGAGCGCCGACCCCTCTCTCGGACGGGGCCAGGACGAGGAGAAGTCCACTCCAGAGCGTTCAGTGAGGAGGCCGCGGCGCCCGACGCATCCCCAAGAGCCGCTGGACCTGAGAGATCCTCGACCTCCTCCTCGCCCGAGGTTGTCCTCGTCCTGGCTTCGTCTCGGCTCCCGTGGGCCACCTTCCTTCACGCCACGCACTCCTGCCCCCCGCCGCCTATGGAGGCAGCGCCCGACCGCGGGCCTCTCCTCGGCCTCCCCCTGGGCCTGCCGACGGTCGTCGTCCCCAGTCGACTAGGCGTAAGAGTGACCTTTCGCCGGAGTGACCTTCGGTGCGGGCACAGATGGGCCCCCGGATGGCCGAAAGAGGAGCGGTAACGGCGGCTTGCGCGCTTGCTTTTGTCCCCCCCGCCCCCGCGGCCCCAAAAAGCAGCGCACCAAAGGTCACTCCTGCCCAGGGTCACTCTTGCGTGTAGCCGACCCGGGCCTGCCGTCGCCCCACGCCGTCGTTCCTCCTCCTCGGGCGTTGGCGCTCCCCCCCCTCGGCAGCGGCCGCGGCCTCCGCGGGAGGTCCGCGTGCTGGGGGCGCTGAAGGCCGACGCCCGGGAGGAGGCCCGGCGGGCGGAGCGGCACCAGCTCAGCCAGGACATCGAGCACCTGGCCCAGGAGCGGCGACCGGCGACCGCGGCGGCGGCGGCGGCGGCGACGGCGACGGCGACGAGGAGGGCGACGGTGACGAGGACGACGACAACAACGACGAGGACGAGGAGGAGGACGACGACGACGAGGCCGACGAAGACGGGGCGAGGCCGACGAAGCCGACGAAGCCGACGGCACGAGCTTAGCCAGGACATCGAGCACCTGGCCCAAGAGCGGCGACCGGCGACAGCGACGGCGATCGAGGATATCCGCCATGGTTTGGACACCGGGGTCTTCCCCAGGACCACTTCTTTTCGTCCTCCTTAGTATTATTATTATTCTTCGTCTTGAATCGTTTCCTGACGGTCCCGGGGCCCGTGGAGGGCCTCGAGAGCCCGAAAACAGCGAAGAGCCTCAGGACCCGTTTCTTTCATGCTTCGATATCAAAGTTTTGACGGCGGCCACGGAGGGGTGGTGCGAAGGGGGTGGCCCTGAAGGCGGTCTGCCTTCTTACAAGCCCACCCCCCTTCGCCCCACCCCTGTTTTTTGACAGGGCCTCGGGATGCATGCCCTCCACAGGGCACAAGGCGCTAGCTCCCGCTGACAAGCGCCTCTCCTGTACGAGACTGCAGCCGCTGGTTGCCTCCTTTGAGGTCAGCAGCAACAGTCTGTCGGAATCTGCGGGTGCGGCTGGGGAGCGGAGAGCTGGCAACCGCAGCGCGAGCCTCTATGAGGCGGAGCGCTTCCGAGACACACGACAACTAAGCAGCAACACGGGAAACCCCCCAGAGGGGGGCCTCGGCTGCACAGAAAAGAAAAACGTCCTGTAAGTGTAGGACACCTCGCGAAGTGTGGGGTCCAGGCCCGTGGCAGCCTGGCCCCTGCGACGCCACGACCCGAACCACTGTCAGGGCAGTCCTATGACCGCCCCCGTGCTCGGCTAGGAAATGCACCACGGACGAGCGTGCCGCGCGCCTTCCCCCTGAAGCGGGGTGCCTGACATGCGTACCGAGCGGCCACGAGTGCGCACACACGACGGACGCGCACGCAACTCAAAAGAAGAAATATACCGACCGCCCACACAAGGACGACGAAACCCGCCATCCCAGGTGCAGAGAGCGCCAGGACGACAGCAAGCCTCGCCCCAGATGTGGGGTATACGCGAAGTTGCCTCCTTCACAGGAGACCTTCCAATGGCCTGGAGCCATAAACCTAAAAGACAAACACAAAACACTGAAGACGACCGCTCCCACGAGGACGACGAGGTCAGACGCCCCTGGTGCAGAGAGCGCCAGGACGGCGTCTGGCCTCGCCCCAGATGTGGGGTGAAAACACGGGTGCATGCCAAAAGGGTCAGTCGCATCGGGCCGTGCAAAAGAGGACACAAGTGAAATGAGCAGGTGCATGCCTGCCGATTGGCCAGACACGAGTCAGTCCGAACTATCTGACTCCTCCTGGCGGTGTGGCAGAGCGCTCGCCATCTCGCCTACGGGCGAGGTGTGTGTAGTGGCGAACACCCTGCGGACTCTCGACGCCTGTGCGTCCTTCACAGCGTCTGAGGGTCCTCTGTAACTCGGGAAGATCTTCTTGCCTATCCTGGCCAGGTTCTGGACGCCTTTACGCGTGGCAGGCGCGCATTGGGACAATAAGCTTCTCGGGGCGACCGTAGCCGTGCGGCCGCACGTCGCACAAAAGTATAGCGAGTGCCGCTGCCAGAGGCGGAGGGCATGAGACTCGTGAAGCTGCTTCCCGCCCAGCATCACCCCCCTCCCACCGACCGAAATTCATCGATAGCCGAGTCCGTGGACCCAGAGTCCGCAGGCTGGTCGACCGAGCACTCTGTGGCGCATGCCTCCAGGATATCCTTTTGGTTAACAATGCAGTGGCACAGGCTGCACACATATTTGTGAGACGGCTGGCGCACAAAACAATATTGACTCTCTAGCATGGCCTTCGATAAAGCCGCCTCCGACGAGGCAGTGCTGGGGCTGACTTGGGCCTCCCGAGGGCAGTTAGATAGGTCCAAACGAGGCCACTGAGAAAGGATTTTAGCCGCCAATTTGCAAACAGCTTTGGCGACCCTAATGTTGAAAACCAAAGCCTCCTGCTCCTCTTCGGTGGCCGCAGGGTGGAGATTGGCCCCTGCTTTAGCCGCCAGATCCGCCGCGTCGTTGCCCAAACGGCACCATCTCTCGTATGGCTCATTTCCCTCCCCATGAGGGTCAAGGTGAGCCTTCACCTTCGAAACTGAACTGATAAAAAGGGGCCCCGAGGTTATAAAGCATCATGGGTCAGGGTTTCTGTTTGCCCTGATGCCCTCGCCCCCCGAGGCCCCTGTCCCAAGCAGACAAAGAAACGTTGAGCGTGTATGTGATGCGCGCGCCTGCTATAGGGAAAGCGCGACGAGTCGGAGCAGAGTCGTTTGCTGACGGTCCCGAGGCCCAGCGAGGGCCCCGGGGGCCGAACATAGCGAACAATTCCCGTCGTGTTTTGGTCACGACACGAGGGGGTCTGGGTGTCGGAACAGCTTACGCACTTGGCATCGCCCGGACGCGTGCATTTTTCCTTCGGCGAGGACCATCGAGGAGCATCCTTGATCATGTCGCGAAAAAGCCACGCACGACACCTAAAAACACAGGAAATGGACGTCCGACGCTCGAGCCCCAGGCCTGTCGCGCGGCGCGCACGCGGCCAACCGCACAGGCGGGGGGGGGAAGGCGAGCGCGCGGGCCTGCGAGTCTGCGCGCGGGCGCCCTCCTCCTCCTCCTCCTCCTCCTCCTCCTGCTCCCTCTCCTCCTCCTCCTCCTCCTCCTCCTCCTCCCTCCTCCCTCCTTCCTCCTTCATCCTCCCTCCTCCCTCCCCTACCCGTGGCATATGCTCCAGACAGAGTTCCAACGGGTCAGCAGTGTCGACGACCTGAGCTGGCTCTGGGACTCTGTGCTGCGCGGGGTGGACTACGAGCTGGCAGGGCGTTACGACTGCGTAGGCGCCAAGGCCACGCAGTGCATCGGACGTGAGGGGCCGCCGCAGTTCAGGTGGCAGCTCCTGTCATGGCAGCCGCCGCGCAGGCGTACCTACAAAGAGCCGACTGCGCTGGCTTGGGCTACGGCGAGGCGCTGGGCCCAGCACCTTGCGGCCGAGAAGAAGCGGCTTGTGAGGTACATCGAGCGCCTCAAGCTGTGCACCGCCATTTGCGCCATCACGCCATCACGGTCGTCGTGGCCTTCAATGAGGTGGCTGCCTTCTATGGGCGCGTGGCTCGGTCAGGGCAGGTGCTGCGTGTCCTGGACACTGCCTTCGCAGGTTTCTTTCGGCGAGGGCTGACTGGCTTGGTCGAGGCTGACTTTGAGGACGTAGCCAATGCCATCATTGCCAGAGCTGGCTATCATCTGAGCACGGCGCAAAGAGCGTCGGAGAAGGCTTGGCGGCAGTGGGCCAAGGAAGCCTTCTTGGGAGGGGCATCTCGGGCGCATTCGTCTTCCAAGGTCCGGGCTCGACAGGAGGTGCTCGCCTACTCCCCTGACGCCCAGCCATGCCAGATGGCGGACCGTACGCTCGACAAGTGGAGGGACGTCTGGACGTACCACGGTGCATGCCCTCTGCCGCTGCCTTCTGATCATGCTCAGTGGCCTCTGCTTCCGCCATTGTCTGCATCGCAGGTGCGAGGAGCCATCAGAAGCTGTCCATTGAAGACGGCCCCGGGCCAGACGAGGATCGCGCCACGCACGCTCGATGTGCTGTCCGACCAGGCCTTGCAGTGCCTGGCTGACATGTTCATGCAGTTTGAGAGCTGGCTAGCCTGGCCTACGGACAGGCTCTACAGCGAGCTTGTTCGCCTGCCCAAGCCTGACGGGGACACTAGGTTGATCGTCCTCAGCAACACTTTCGTCAGGTTGCGGGGAAAGCTTCGTCGGCCGCTTTCAGCGGAGTGGCAAGAGGCTCACTATTGTGAACATATGTGGGGGTCCAGGGCTGGGCAGACGTCGACCGATTCAGCCTTCGACCACAACCTGAGCCAGGAGATAGGAGAATTCTTAGGTGAGCACACCTGCACCATTCTCTTGGACATGACCAAGTGCTTCGATATGGTCAGTCACAGTGCACTTCTCCGAGAAGCCAGAGAGCTCGGGTACCCGCTGAGGCTCCTGTGGTTGCCCCTGGGCTCCTACCGCCAGCCGAGAAGGATCAAGTGTTTTGGGTATGTCTCCAGGCCCTCGGCGGCCCATCAGGGTATTCTTGCGGGCTGCACGCACGCCGCTTATCTTTTATATCTCCTCGCGTACCGAGCGGCCCAGCGCACGGCTAGTATTGCACCTACTGTCACGCCACGCACGCTCATGGACGATGTGGGCCTGCAGTACGCGTCGCCCGTCTTGCGGGAGGTGTCCAACCTGGCCCGAGCGGCCAAGGCGTTCACGGCTGATGCTGGTGATCTCGGGATGGTCCTGAAGCCGCCGAAGTCTGGATGTATCCCAGGGTCCCAAAAGGTTTGGGGGCAGCTCAAGAGGCACTTGGGAACCTTGAAGATCCCGTACAGGGCCCACATGAGGAATCTGGGACACGAGCTCACAGGACCTCGAGTTCTTCGGCGTATGGAGAAGCGTAGGCTGGTGCAGCTTCGTGAGCGCAAGCATCGTTTTCGCATGTTGAAGTCGGCCGTGGGGCGGGGTGCTACCAGCCTGTGGCGCACGGGCGCCCTTCCATCAGTGGCGCATGGCGGAGCAGTTGCTGGAGTTAGTGGTAGCGCCCTTCGTGAGTTGCGACATTGTGCTGCGGTCCTAAATGGTGCTCCAGGTAAGACGATGGTTGGGGTAACAGCATATCTTATATCTCATCGGGATGAATGCTATGACCCCATATATAACGCCACCACGGACATTGTGCTCAAATGTGCTTCCTGGATCTGGGACGGGCGAGTACAACCTAGCAGACTTCGGGAGGCTTGGGTCAGTCTGGGTGCTAAGTGTGGGGTTCACCTTCCTGGTCTAAAGCGCGAGGGCCCCTCGGGGCCACTTGGCTTGCTTTGAGGCGTATCTCCTGGACTATGTCGTCTGAGCACATCCTGGTCGACGATTTGGGAAATAGTTTTGATGTATATCGTATATGTCCAGCAGACCTGCGTGTGTTCCTGCATCAGGGCATCCAGCGCTGGCAGCACCATAGGTTGCAGCAGCATTTTTACACCGAGCAGGCGGATGTGTGGCATCGAGCGCTGCGCCACTCGCTCGCCAAGATAAAGTGTCACAGGCGCCTCGGGGCGCTGCAGGCGTTGTGGGCAGACAATATTCCCATCCCACCGCGTCGGGACATGAAGCGTGGGAGGTCCATTAGGCCTTGTCAGGCCTGTGGCAAGGCTATCGACTCCTGTTGGGGTCATATCTTTTACGACTGCCCGCCGCTCCTCGAAGGGAACCCCGACCAGGAATATTATGAGTTTCCAGAACAGCTTCAGGAGGTTCGAGACATGCTTCAGGCGTCTGGGCAGCTGCTGGGGTGCACCGACTGGGACCAGAGGTACCTGATCTATGGGGTTCCTGAGCCTGTGGCTGTGCCGCACTACACTACGGTCTCCAATGAAGTTTTTGAGTGGGGAGATGTCTCAGGCTCCTGGGGGCCTACATCCTATACTGATGGGTCTGGGTTCTCGGCCAGCATTCCTGAAGTACGTAGGTGTGGTTGGTCGGTCTGCCAGTTGGACCCCGTCACGTGGCTCCCCGCCAGAGCTGTATATGGGCCCTTGCCCTATTATGTGCAGACGGTAGGCCGTGCTGAGCGCTATGCCATCAAGATGGGACTTCAGAAGCATCCAGGGCATGAGGTTTTCATTTCAGATCTGAAATCGCTCGTTGAGGAGGGTACGTCCTGGGACCAGAAGCTCGAGTTTGGCAAAGCGAAGCACGCCCGAGTCTGGAGAGACATTTTTTTCTGCTGCCAGAGCACGTGATCCACGTCTGCCACCAGTGCGGTTTCAGTGGACTCCAGCTCACAGGAAGCTGGAGGACATCATCGAGTGGGCCACGCCAGACGAGCTGGAGGCCTTCGTCGGCAATGCCTGGGCCGACTTCTTCGCGAAGTGTGGCAGTGCTGCACACATGGTGTCTAAAACAGTGGCTGATAGTTTGGCCGCTGCGCTGACGCAGCACAAGCAGGTCTTGCATTATGTGTCTTGGGCGGTCTTCCAGGTGGTTCAGTTTCGCAAGTGGGGGGCGGATCCTATCGCGGAGCGGGGCCCAGAGCTTGCCCAGGTGCCCAAGCGTGTGGTCTTCGAGAGGCCCCAGGACCATGAGTTGCTTTTCTGCCAGAGGTTGTCTGAGTATCGGTGTCGTCGGTGCAATCGAGTCGCTCGAAGTGCGAGTACCCTCCATACTCTTCGCTCAGGAGCTGATCGAGTGTGTGCTCCCACGCCTCTGGTCCAGAGCTTGGCCGATGACTTCTTCCCGCGGAGTTCTGAGGCGTGGCTTAGTATTTCGGACTCTAGAGTCACGGCTGCCATCGAGGCTGCTGATAGGATTTTTGGGCCCACGCCTGGGCTTCGGGAGCCCTCCTCGGGACCGGGCGCGGTCCCTCCGCAGCCGCTGGAGCAGGCGAATGCTGCCAGTGGCTCTGCCGACGCTCCTCAACCAGTGCTTGCCGAATTCGCTGAATTTGGGCATGACGTTTTCTGTGTGAATTCCGTTTATTGCTGCCGCAAGTGCGGGGGCAATTTCAACGGGTCCGAGTCCTTCAGGTCCGCCCGCAAACTGCGGGCGTTGTGCCAAGGGTTTTCGGAGAATCCAAAGACTCGGGCTAACCAGCACACGGCGATCGACAGAATCACCCGTGGCTTGGAGCCCCGCCAGCGAGGGGCAGGTGCGGCGCGTTCTGGCCCGAACCCTGCCCCCTAGTGTTGCTCTTTGGACCCTGGGAGGTTTTAGGGTGTGGTTTTCCTGAGGCGCCCCACCCTCTCCCAGGCTTTCGCCCTTTCCGCCACCCCTGTGGCTCTCAGGTCTCACACGCGGTTGGTGTTCGTCACTCGGACGCCCCTCCTGCGGCTCGCTCGCCCTCCTCCCTCCTCCCTCCTCCCTCCTCCCTCCTCCCTCCTCCCTCCTCCTCCTCCTCCTCCTCCTCCTCCTCCTCCTCCTCCTCCTCCTCCTCCTCCTCCTCCTCCTCCCATTGGCATCCAACTTCGTGCCCCCCCGACGCCGCCCTGGAGAAGGGCAGCTCCCCGGCCCTGGCCGCGACGCGCGACCATTTCCGAACCCTGCAGGCGCATCTGGTCCGAAGCCGGCGCACGTCTCTCGAGGCCTCCCAGTCGGGGTCGGAGAAGGTGGTGTCGGAGGATCGCTCCGCATCGCCGATGCCTCAGCGATGCGGCTCGATGTGGAGCCCGATTTCCCCACGCCAACGTCGTGTACGCATCGCCGACGCATCGCCGATGCGACGCGACCCTCCGACGCCATCTGCTCCGACCCCGTCTGGGAGGCCTCAAGTCTCTCAGATCATCTTGTCTCTCGGGGCGGTCTCGGCCCCACGGGGGTGCAGCCGCCGCAGCGACCCCTCCGCCAGGAGCTCGAGGAGTTGGACGCGCACCCCGACCTCCAGGCCAGGTGCTGCACGGAGCTGCTATCGCCGCAGTTGTTGTCGCCACCAGCATTATGTTGTTTCCTCGCTGGCGTCCTTCCCTGCGGCACTCGTTTTCACTTCCTCCTTCGAAGATTGATAAACGGCCTACGCATAGATTCTCGGAGCTCCGCGCGGATCTCTTGGATCGGCGTTGGGCCCCCCTGGCGGCGCCTCCGGCACCGCCCCTGGCGCACTCCTCGCGCGAGGGAGGGGGGTTCAGCGCAGATCCAAAAAAATCCGCGCGGACCTTCGAAAGTTTATGTCGTTGTTTGTTCTTCTATACCCTGCCCTTGATGCCGACGATCCGAAATCCCTCTACCTTGCAGACAGTTCCCTCCTGTCCCACTACCAAGCGTGTCGTCAGGGCGGGCCAGGCATTTCACCCGAGACGTCCTCACCGCTTACGACGTCGAAGCCTGCAGCAGTTCTACGGATGGGAGGGGGGGTGGCTCCTGTTCCAAAAAAGGGTTCTCGCCGTGGCGCCCTCCCAGACCCCGCTCAGAAAATCGTCGGAGGTTGATAGACCTCCTACCCTGACACGTCGATTAGCGAATTGGCAGTTTTCGGTTTTCGAGAGGGCGTCGCGGCCGTCATTTTTGCGGGTCCAGGTCCATCGGTTTCGGTCCTAGGCCGTTTTTACTAAAGGGAGGTTTACTAAAGGGAGGTTTGTCCACCGCCGAAGCCGAAGCGCAACCCTGATGTGGGCGAGTTTGTTTTTTTAAGTGGGGCTCTCGCTTGGTAGCCCCCTGGAGCTGGAGAACCCCACCTTGTCGACATCCCTTGTGGCCCGAAGGACGGAGGGCAGTTTCCTTCGAACGGAGCTCCCGCCTGAATTGTGGGCCCGTGGAGGGCTCGTCTTTCGGGGGGGGGGGGGGCGGGGCGCTTCGCGGGGTAAACACGGACGCCAGTGAGGGCTAGTGAGGAAGGATTTGGGACGGGAGGGTCCACTGCAGCATCGTTGGTCCAGATCTGGGTTTATTCCGGCGCTCGTCCCCTCCCGCAACCTTTTACTCCACCTGTTCATCTTCGTCCTCCTCCTCCTCATCTTGCCTCTCCTCCTCCTCAACCCTAGTTTTTTGCTCGCTCTTATTCCCTCCCCTTGTCCTTGCCCTCCACTCCCATCCCCTGCCTTCGCCCCCCACCCCCCTATACCCTGCTCCATCCAGTCCCCATCCCTTCTCTTATTCTTCACCTCCTCCCTGGCCCATATCTTTGTTTCCCGTCTTCCCCCCCCCCACCCGTAGCCTCCATCCTCCTTTCTTCGCTGCATGCACTCGTTCCTCCGTTCCCCCTTCTCTCTCTTCCCCTGCTAGTGAAGCCCTAGATCGCCTAGGTACTTTAGACCATCTAGGTCCTCCTGAGCAGGTTCTCTACCGAGGCCTGCGCT